TTTTGTGTTGTATGTGAGAAATCATTTCCAAATCCAAGTTCATGAAGTTACTTCTAATAGTTACTTCTAACAGTTTTAACTTTTAGTTTTTACATTGAGGTCGTTGATACACTTTGAATGCATCATTGTGTATGGTATGAAGTAGGAGTCCAGCTTCTTTTGCATGTGACTGTTCATTTTTCCCAGTGCCAGTTGTTGAAGAGATCATATTCTTTCTCTATTAAAAGATCTTGGCAGCCTTGTTGAAGTAAATGGACCAAAAATTTAACGGTTCATTTCTAGGCTCTCAGTTCTGTTCTACTGATTTGTATGCTTATCCTTATGCTAGTAACACTCATCTTTTCTATTTTTTCTCTTTTTAATTGAATTTATTGGAGTGACATTTATTAATAAAAATATATCGTTTTCTGGTATACATTTCTGCCATACATCATCTGTACATTCATCTTGATTACTATAGCTCTAGGGTAAGTTTTGAAATCAGGAAGTATGAATGTGCCTAGTTTGGTTTTTTACAAATTCTTTTTGGCTATTTAAGATTTTTTAATTTCTGCTTAAATTTTAGGAACAGTTTTTCAATTTGTACAAAGAAGCCAGCTGGGATTTTATAGGGATTGCATGACTCCATAGATCACTTTGAGAAGTATTCCCATCTTAACAACATTAAGTCTTCAGTCTGTGAACATTTGATGTCTTTCCATTTATTTAGATCTTAATTTATTTTTTAGTATTTTTATTTTTTTAAATTACAGGTTGTATTTAATATTATTTCGTATTAGTTTTAGGTATAAGCATAATGGTTTGATAGTCATGTATCTAACAAAGCTACCCCATTGCACCCCCCCCCACCACTGCCAATATTCAGTTACCCTCTTGGCACCTACATGGTTTTTAGCAATACTATTGACCATATTCCTTATGCTGTACTTTATATCCTTGGGACTGTTTTGTGACTATCAGTTTGTACTTCTTAATTCCTCACCTTTCTCACCCCCCTATGTTCTCCCCTCTTGTAACCATCTGTTCTGTATATCTATGAATCTGTTACTATATTTTTGTTTGTTTTCTTTGATTCTACATGTAAGTGAAATCATATTTGTCTTTTTCTGTCTGATTTATTTCAGTTAGCATAACACTCTCTAGGTCCATCCATGCTCTCTCAAATGGTGAGATTTCTTTTTTTATGTTTGAGTCATATTCTATTGTATAGATTCCATTGTCTATTTATTGATGGGCACTTGGGTTGTTTCCATAGCTTGGCTCTTGTAAGTAACACTGTAATGAACATAGGGGTGCATATATTCTTCAGAATTAGTGTTTTGAGTTTTCTGGATAAATACCCAGAAGTGGAATTTTTGAGTTGTAAGGCAGTTCTAGTTTTAATATTTTGAGGATTCTCCATACTGTCTTTCATCATACCTGGACAAATCTTCATTCCTACCAACAGATGAGGTTCTCTTTTCTCTGCACGCTTGCCAACTCTTGTTGCTTGTAGATTTTTTAAAGTTTTCAATGTTTATTTTTATTTTTTATTAAAAAATTTTTTTAAATTACAGTTTACATTCAATATTATTTTGCATTACTTCCAGGGGTACAGCATAGTGGTTAGACAATCATATATTTTACAAAGTGTTCCCCCTGATATTTCCAGTACTCAAGAGACACTGGACAATTACCACAATGTTATTGACTATATTTCCTTTGCTGGACTTTATGTCCCTATGACTGTCTTGTATCCACTAGTTTGTACTTCTCAATCCCTTCAACTTTTTCACCCAGTTCTGTTAACCCCAACTCAGTCAACCATGAATCCATTTCTTTGTTTGTTTATATTTTCATTACAGCTCACATATAAGTGAAATAATATGAGTTGTTTTTCTCTAACTTAGTTTACTTAGCATACTACCCTCTAGGTCCATCCGTGCTTTTGCAAATAGTAAGACTTCGTTCTTTATTATGGTCAAATAATATTCCACTGTATATATGTACCACTGCCTTTTTATCACTCATCTATTGATGAGCACTTTGGTTGTTTCCACAGCTTAGCTATTGTAAATAATGCTTCGATGAACCTAGGCGTGCATATATTCTTTTGATACAGTGTTTTGGGTTTCTTTGGATAAATGCTGAGACATAGAATCACTGGGTCATAAAGCGACAGTAATTTAAATTTTTTGTAGGACCCTTTGTACTGCTTTCCACAGTAGTTGCATAGTCTGTATTCCCACCAACAGTGAAGGCAGGTTCCCTTTTCTTGACAACACTTGTTTGTGGATTTATTGATGATAGCAGTTCTTACACAATGAGGTGATACCTCATTGTGGTTTTAATTCACATTTCTCTGATAATTGATGACATTGAGCATCTTTACATATGTCTATTGGCCATCTGCATGTCCTCTTTGGAGAAGTGTCTGTTCAGGTCCCTGCTTATTTTTTAATTGGATTGGTTGCATTATGAATTTTTGGTATTAACCCCTTATCAGATGTATCATTGGTAAATATCTTTTCTCTTTCAGTAGGTTATCTTTTTGTTTTGTTTATGGTTCCCTTTGCTGTTCAAAACCTTTTAAATTTGATGTAGTCAACTTGTTAATTTTTTCTTTTGTTTCCTCTGCCAGAGGATATACATAAGAAAAAATACTGTTTATAGAAATGCCCGACTTCTGGTCAAGATGAAGGCATTGGTAAATATGCTTTGCTACCTTGCACAATCATAAGAAAGATCATAGCTAACCTCAAAACAAAAATACCCAAAACTGCCAGAAAATTGGCATATAACTTTGCTGAAATTGTTGATTCTAACAGGTTTTATTTTTTAATGGAATCATTAGGGTTTTAAAAAAGATTTTATTTATTTATCTATAGAGGGGAAGGGAAGGAGGGAAGGAGAGAAATATCAATGTATGGTTGACTTTCATGCATCCCCTGCTGGGAACTGGCCTGCAACCCAGGCGTGTGCCCTGGCTGGGAATCAAACTGCGATCGTTTGGTTCACAGGCCTACGCTCAATCCACTGAGCTACACCAGCCAGGGCAGGATTTTCTATAAATAAGATCATATCATCTGCAAGAAGATGTTTTTACTTCTTTCTAATTTGAATGCCTTTTACAGTTAAAAGGCTTTCTTTTTCTGCCTAACTTCTTTGGCTAGAACTTACCATGCTGTGTCGAATAGAAGTGATGAAAGGAGGTATTCTTTTCTTGTTCTTAGTGGAAATGTTTTCAGTCTTTCACCATTGAGTATGATGTTTACTGTGGGTTTTTCATATATGGCATTCATTATGTTGAGGTAGTTATATTTCTAGTTTGTTGAGTGTTTTTGTAATGAAAGGGTGTTGGATTTTTTCATGTTTTTTTCTGCATTGGTTGAGATGATCATGTATTTTTTTCTTTGTCCTTTTATTAATGTGCTGTGTTACATTGCTCAATTTCCACATGTTAAACTATCCTTACATTCCAGGAATAAATCCCACTTGGTCATGTACATAATCCTTTTAATATTCTGCTGAATTTGATTTGCTAGTATTTTGTCAAAAATTTTTGTACCCATATTCATGAGGAATATTGTTCAGTATTTTTCTTGTGATGTCTTTGTCTGGCTTTGGTGTCACAGTAATGATTGCTTCATAGAATAAGTTTAAAAATGTTCCCTTCTTTATCTTCTTTTATTTTTTTGAAAAGTTTGGTGTTTTTAAATGTTTGGTAGAATTCACTAGTGAAGTCATTGGTTCTTGGGCTTTTCTTTGTTCATAGATTTTTTTATTACTGAATCTATCTCCTTACTAGTTATGGGTCTATTCAGATTTTAAGAATCATTGTTTTAAAATAGTCTTGATTTTAAAAGTCTTAGTATTAAAACAGTACAGCATTATTACTGTGTTTCAAAAGAATACGCATATTCTACTGCCCTAATCCATTTGGTTATATTTTTGTTGAGAATGTGTCTATACATACATGTTTTAATCAAGTTATATTGTGTGTAAATTCTTTTCATGTTGTTTTATTAATTTACTTAACATGTTTTCCCCACTACTAATGTATATAGTCCTACCCATTTCCCTGTTGCCTTTGTATCCTAGAGAATTATGCCATAATTCATGCAACATTATCTCAGAAAGACATCATGTAGGTCTGAGCAGTGTTTTGTTTGTTTTGTTTATTGACTGGTGCCAGTGGGATGGTCAGTGGCTTCCTGAATACTGTGTACTATGTGACTTGGTGGGTGGTGCTCTGATTTGCATTCAGAATTAAACTAATGATTCACATCACCACCTATGGAAAGTGTGAAGAGGTTTCTTTTTAGCCATATATGGTATATGTGCTACACATACATATACATTCACATATACATATATATGACTATGATACATACACATAAAAATCTGTTCAGGACTTTGTGATAAATGGTCTGCTCTTCAATGGCAATGGATCTGTAGTGAATTTTAGTTTTTAAATGGGCCTAGGGAAGAAAAGAAACAATTATGTTCCTGAAAATAAAAGTGTTTAAATTTCATTTTCACAAAATAGTAAGTAATGTGTCAGACCTTATTATTTAGTAGGTAGGTAAGTGAATTTGGTAGGAAAACCTATTGTATGATACACATTCTCACTTTCTGCCTTTTTGCAGGGCTGCTGATGATAACAAGCCAACTAGAATCATTTAAAATTTTACTTACACTTTTCAAAACTTTTTCATATTTTGTAGACATGCTAACAGTGATTCATAAACAAATATCTTTGTTAATTTTATATTTGCTTATTTTTAGATTTTTGTAATGTTTACATTACAAAAAGGAAAAAGTTGAAATAGGAAATCAAGTTTATTTAACAATATAATTAACTTACAGGCAGGGAGAGTGGACACCCTAATAGTTAAGTTAATTTATAATTTTGAAATAAGATGTATATTATTTCCAAATTTAATTTAATCCACAATAAATATAAATACCTTTAATAAAATGTTTTTAAATTTTAAAACTATGTTATGTTTTTTTAACAGATTTCTATAATCCAGGAACTTGTTACTAATTATGAAGCCTCTCTCAAAACATGTGACTTTTTTAGCCTTTATGGTAAGTTTAAATTAGTTTCTGTTGGAATTTAGTTACTCATTTCTGTCCATTTTTAATCACACACAGTAAAACTATCTTAATGTTTATTATGTAAATACTACATGATAGGTATTTACCGAATAGTTTTTGAATTTGTGAAGAATAATTTTTAAAATGCGAAGAGTGCATTTCAGTTTAGTTTAATTTAAATTATCCATAATATTGCGAGATGGGAGTTAACCCTATTTTAACACAAGTAAATTGACTGGAGAGATTGAGTGGCTTACCAGAGATGATGCAGTTAGTTTATAGTGAAATGTACTTTTACTGAATCTCTACTTTTCTTTTTACTTTTTTTTTACTTTAAATCCTGTAAAATTTGTTTGTTTCTCTTTTTGTAGGGGCATATGTAAATCAAGGCAACTGTAGAAAGCACTGTAGATTGCTTTCATTCATGCAGATGCTGACTTTAGTCTGTTTTTTTCATGTGTTTTTTACATGTCATTGCTCTTTTGTCTTTGTTAGTTTGAAACAAATTCCATGTAAGAGAACAGACATAGAAGTAAGTAGAATAATGAACACTGTGTCTCCATCACCCAGCTTCTGTTACAACATTTTCCTAGACTTGAAGTACCTTCTGTCTAGTTTTTCTGGAGTATTTTTAAAGCAGACATATTTTTACCTGTCAGTACCTTAGTATACATCACTATTTAAAACACTTAAGCAAATGATGTAACCACAGTGCTATCTTATACAAAATTAATTCTCATACTATAATATTTAACATCCAGTGTATGTGCAGATTTCCCTGATTATCTTAACAAATTATCTTTGTATAATTTGTTTATTTGAATTTGGATCCAACTTGATTTTTATGTCTCTGATATTCTTTTAATCTTGAGTAGTGTCCTCCCCTCCCTTTTAAAAAATGTTATTTGTTAACAGGTTATTTGTCTGTGGAATGTCCCATATTCTGCATTTGGCTGATTTGCTTTCTCATGGTATCATTTAACATATTTCTTCTAAACTCAGTAAGATTTACAGACTTGATTAGATTCAGGTTTCATATGAGTACTTGATACGTGATGTATGGTACTTCCCATTATATCACAGCTGGAGGCAGAAGACATTCTGTTTGTTTCTCTTTTTATGTTGTTTAGGTTGGTCAGGGTTCAGATGTTGTTAGCCATCTGCCCATTAAAGGATTCCTCATTGGCCTCTCACCTAATGATTTTAGCAGTCAATGCAAATCATTGTCCTAGTCCCTTATTTCATTCAAGTTATCATTTCATCTGTATTTGTTAGTTAGACATCATTTCATCAAATACAATCATTTCATGTATTTATTAGTAAAAAATTTGCCCTCATCAGCTATTTGGTTTCCCTGAACTATACTTCATGGAAGAGGAGCAAGATAAACTCTTTGCCTTTATTTGTCTGCATGTTGTCATTTTATTTGGTCACCTAGTCTAGGAGACCTGTGTTTTTCTGATGTAGTGTGGGTAAATTCTCTTTTTTCACCCTTTCTTCCTCATTTTGTACCTGTTGGTCTTCCCTTCTGAAATCTAATTGGAGAGCTTGGTATTTCTCTACTCTTTGTAGCTTGAGGGTACAGGATGGGGAACAGCGTAGAGCTTAGCAGATAGTGTGTGACTGCTTTTGACACATAGGGTTACTTCTTTCTACCTTACCAGGAATGTATCTTCTTCATATCCATCTTTCCCTGATTTAGTGTTGAGGCCTAGACAAAGCTTGGCAGTTCTTGCCTTTGTGGAAATCTTGTGGTGGTAGTGAGGGACATCTTTTTTCCAAGATGTTTTCTGGGTCTGCTGCCTTATGCCCCCGGCCTGGGGATTCATAGATTATCTTCTATCCTCAGCACTGTTTCTTTGGAGTGAGATGGCGGTTGGTTTAGAAGCCTTTGAAAGTAGCATCTTCTTTCTCTGTTTGGCTGCCACTTTTTGAACTCGATGGCATGCAGTCATACCTCTTTCTGTTGAAATTTGTCATTTTTGCTGGGTTTTTACTGTTTATTATTATAATAACTATTAATTTTGTTATGATTTGGGGGAGAGAGTGTATGTGATATCCTTTACTTTGCCTTCTTCCTTACAATAATTTTATATTTGTTTGATTGCAGAGAGTGGGGAAAAGGAACCCCCAACAACACTGCTCTGGGTTCAGTATTTCCTGGCACAGCACTTTGATAAACTTGGGCAATATTCTTTGGCTTTGGATTATATTAATGCTGCTATTGCTAGTACTCCAACTCTAATAGAATTATTCTATATGAAAGCAAAAATTTACAAGGTAAAATCCTAGATATGTTTTTTTAATAATTGAAGAATTTAGCTACTTAAGAACCCTTGAAATTATTTCTGTGCAGAAATAACTTTTATGGTACTTTGATAATCTATTTCTAATACTCTAAAAATCTTAAAGAGTTATAGGTTGCATAGTTTTGAACTCAGTGTTAATCATTGACTCAACTCTTAGTAAAGGTGAATTTTAATTTAAAGATTTCTAGATAAACTTTACAGAACTGGTACCAAACTTCTAATTTGTCTTCATAAACTGTTGCTATTCATAGTGCTTCCATATTATCTTAATCATAAACTGTAATTTCTTTTTAAACACTTTCATCTCTTAAAGCATATAGGTAATCTCAAAGAAGCTGCAAAGTGGATGGATGAAGCACAGTCTTTAGACACGGCTGATAGGTTCATCAATTCCAAATGTGCAAAGTACATGCTTCGAGCAAATATGATAAAAGAAGCAGAGGAAATGTGCTCCAAGTTCACAAGGGTAGGAAATAGCATTAAACTTCCATTCTGTGATGATTTGTGAAGTTTGCCACTGAAATTTTTAAGAATTCATTTTTGTTATTTTTTTAATCCCATTTGGTTCATATCCTAAGCATGGGTTCTTACTGAGATTTCAGTGTGTGTACATGTGCTTCCGGGGTAGGGGGCAGGAGAGTTGGTTAAAAAGCAACAGCAGGAGCAAATACCTGTGTGCAAAAATAAGCAATATGCCATACTTAAGTGTAATATTCAGTTTATAGTTCTTTTGTCTTGCTAGGAATTTGTGACTGCTGTTTAATTTCTCTTTTACATTGTTACTTCAGAATTGTCCATAAAGTTCTTCTATGTAAAATTAAGGTTCATGGACTACTGGTCTCTGTGCCAGTTGAGAATTTAAGTTCACTGAAATGCTTGGACTCAGTGTTGTTCCTTTCCTTTTTGTCTTTCGCAGTCCTTTTATATCCTTTCAACATAGACTTCCTGTTTTATAAAAATATTTTACATGTTTATGATAAAAAATATAAGTAGACTATGGAACAGAATAGAAAGCTCAGAAGCACATATATATTGGAAAACTTGGTATATCACCAGAGGTGCATTAAAAATCAGATGAAAAAATATTGCTGGGACAATTAGTTATTTGTGTTGAAAAGGATAAAATGACATTCTTATCTTGTGCTGCAAACAAATCAATTCCAGATGGATTAAAGATCTAAGTATGGAAAGCACAGTTTTTAGATCTTTGGAAGAAGGTATAGAAGTTTATCTTTAGGGCCTGAGGTAGGGAACATTTCTTAGGACACCACAAGTGTAAAGTATGTGAGTAAATTGAAACACTTGACTATTAAAAATCAAGATAAGAAGGACACAGGGACGAGAACTAAGGGGGGTGGAAATGGGAGGGAGGAGGGGAGCATGGGGCTGGGGGGGGGCCAGGATGGGAGAAATAGACAAAAAAACTGTACTTGAAAAATAACTAAATAGAATTATTAAAAAATCAAGATAAGGTATAACAGTATAACCATAGTGAAGTGAGAAGATAAACTACAGAATTAATCAGAGAAGATATTTCTAATCTATATAATGAGAAAAGAATTTATAATAAATTCCAGAGAATTCACTGGTGTAGTTATATAGCACATATTGAATGTAACATTGAGGCATCATGAGGAAACCATTGCTGCAAGTTTGATTTCCAAATTTTAATTAAGATTCTTTGAAAGAAATGTATGTCCAAGTGCACATTACATACAAAGTAGAGGACTTTTGTGCTGATGTAACACAGGTGAGGTATTCAGGATGAGCATAAGTTACCACTGTATGAATAGTTCACATAAGTGGTAAATGGAATGGCCTAGAAAGATGTCTTCAACAGTAATCAGGGAAATTATAAGATACCATTTTGTACACATTAAATTTAAGAAGTGTAAGTCTGAACATTACTAGGTATTGACAAATAATATGTTTTACATATTCTTTATATATGTTTTACATATATATGTATATGATGTCACTTAATCTTAACAATCTTAGGACATCGTTACCCTCATATTACAGTTAAGGAAATGTTTAGAGAGGTCAAGTACTGTGGCATCTGGAGATCACCCACTTAGTCATTTATTTGGAGCCAGGATTCTAGACTGGGTGTCTCTGACTCTAAAACCTATGTTTTAGGATTGTGTTTCAGGAACAGAAACTGCAGTGACTAGTGTTCTAAAGCTCAGAAGCCATAGGATCAACAGTAGATACAAAGGGGCAGTTGAAATGTTAGCAAGAAGTATTAGCAAGAATGATGAGTATTGGGAGGAAAAAAACTAGGAAGATAGTAATGCAGCTTATGTTCATGTGGCACTTTTTTTATGTGTTTGTCTGAAATTTTATAGCAGTCTGATTGGGCTTCTGAAGAGGTTACTTGAATCATCTTTGGTCACATAGTGAATATTGTTGGGGCTCAGACTTTTCAGTGCCCTTCCCACTGAGTCACAATTTTGAAGGTTAGAAGACAGTTCAAGTATAGATATAAAAACAGTGATGTTTGTAGAGAAAAGTATCCACCACCTGGAAAGCCACTATGGAGATTAGAAGTAAAGTACAATTACAAATGAATACACGAAACTTTTAAAACTAGGTAATAAGTCTAATCACATACATACACACCCTAAACCAGAGACAACTGTCTGAAAAAGCACAGGGAAATGAAAGAAGGGGAAAGTTGGGCTGTTTGAGAGTAGTCACCAAAATCTAGTTTGCTCATCATAATTGCTCTCAGTCATCCATTCTTGACAAGTTGCCATGCTATATGGAGAGCTTGTATTCCATTTATCCAAAGTGGTTCCTTGGCCAGATATGTCTCTGACGTGATAGATAAGCATAGTGAGCCAGAGCAGGAAAACTGCTAATGACCTTGAGTAACCAGTTTGTATCTGCTTGTTCATTGAATGAAGTGCTCATATTTCACAGTTTGAAGATTTCTTCTTGAAGATTTTTCACAGTTTGAAATTCTTGTATGAGGTTGTTGATGAAAGTTGTATAGTTCTAGTTTGTAACGATTTTGAAATGAAATACAATGTAGTTTTCTTATAGGTAGTCATCAACAAATGTAAAATATATCTAACCATAAAGAACAATGAAATACGCTCATATTTTTACCTAACCGGTTTTTATCCTTTTAATGAAAATTCTGAAAATTGAACTGATAACACAAAATGGGTGTGACAGAGAACTGAAGATTAAAATTACATATCTAAATATACCATTGCCATCTTTCCTGGGGTCATATAAAATATATTTGAAATATCCTTAAAAATGTGGCAACACTCCAGTGCCCCTGCCCTGAAAGTAGGTACTTTATGACTTACATTGTTCTCAGAATTCACACTGAGCCTGAATTGACAAACATTTTTAACAAATTCTGTTATTTGATTTTATCAGCTTCAAGGGGAAGAGTTGGCATAGAATAGGAAATGCTGTTAGAAGCAGACACATGGGCACAAAAAAGCGACAACTGATAGCCTAAGCCTAATGTGCGGCGGGGGGACTGGGAAACGGAAAAGCAGGCTTGGACCCTAGTACTGATGGATTTGGCAGTAGTGGATGTACATAGCCCTGTGTCAGCAAAGAAAGGTTAACTAGCTTTTACTTAATAAGCAGAAGCTAGGCAGTACTTCACAGGGTTGCTATCTAAAATAGTCTAAATCAGGGGTGTAAAACTCCTTTTCACTGGGGCAGCTGCCTTCAAAAGGCCGAATATAATTTCAGGACTGTATAAATGTAACTCTTCCTTAACTAGGGGCAAGGAACTTGGCACTGCTTCTGGGTAGAAACAAGGTGGAGGGCCGGATTCAGTCCTCTGGCCTTGTGTTTGCTACCTGTGGTTTAAATAGAAGCTTTGTTGTTTAAAAACTAGCTTCAGTAATCTGGAGTTTTTTTATATAGAATGTTGAATACCCCAACAAAGCTGGATAAATAAGACGTACAATTTTAAATCAATAGGAGCTTTTTGGTAGTATTCGGTATATTTGTTAATTACTGTTGTCAAGATATTTGTAGCTATAGTTGTAAAAGAGAAAATGAGATTTTTAGGATCCCTTTTATTATTTGCTTCTTATATTAATGAATGCTTCTATTTCAGGAAGGAACATCTGCCATGGAAAATCTGAATGAAATGCAGTGCATGTGGTTTCAAACAGAGTGCATTTCTGCTTATCAGCGTTTGGGGAGATACGGGGATGCCTTAAAAAAGTGCCATGAAGTAGAAAGAGTAAGTTGATAGAATTTTGACTTTATTTTTCTCTGGTAAGTAGATGAAAAAAGCAGATTTTTTTCTACAGTGTAACATCTGCCTCTTTTATTTACTTTGGAAACTTCATTGTGAAAAATTCTTTCAAACATTCAGAGGTTGTGAATAAATGGTTGCTTTTGTTTGATCCTCAGATGGTTGTGATTTCAACATGTCTCCATGTCTTTATCTGAAGGAACAAGTAAGAGATAAATTTAGTAAGCCATCGTGGCTGTTAGTAACATATATTCAAAATATCTGTTCCCTAATCGGGCCATTATTTGGTTTTCATCACTAGCCATGAAGGATACACAAGCAGATGGCTGCCTCTTTCCCCTTTATATCAGGATCTGCTCAGTAGTCAGCCTCTCTCCAGTTTGTCTTCCCAGGATATTTGTTCTCACTTCAGTACTTTGGACAGCAGTCTGGGTCTGGTTCGCAGCCTTATTTTATCACTTGCTTTTAGGATGATGTGTGTGATTTGCCTTAGTGAGGGGCCTTTTCTTTTCCTTTGTGTGAATTTTTGTTTTCCTGTTCTTTGTCATCTCTGAAGCACTCTCCTTCCAATGGACAACAGGAGGAAAAGAGCCACAAATGCACCCCTGAGGCAGTCCTCAGCAGCCCTCAGTTGGGGTCAATCGGCACCACTGTTCCCATGCTGACGCAGTATAAAACCACAGGCATCATAGTCAGGTGAGCCTGATGTCTGCTCTCCGGCAGTCACTTTGGCCTTTTTCCCATGTGAAACTTCTGAGATTACCCAAAAGAAAGGCTAAACCTTAGGGGGTGGCTTTTGATGGGAACTGGAACTAGGATTATATATGAGCCCTTTTACAAATAACATAGTTTTTGCTTTGTTTTGTTTTGTTTTGATTTTATTCTTAGCTTGGGCTTCATGGCTATCTCTGGGAAAAATTCTCATCTTGAAAATATAAAAAGCCCTTGGATAATAAGTGAAGTATTCAGGCATTGAAGTATAAGTCAGGCTCTTCTATGATAAAATCAGAGATCATTAACTTGATGACTGTCACTTAAAACATTCTATTTGTTATTAGGAAAGATACATTTTTATTAACCAGGACATTCTTGGTGAATTGACAGATTGTTTACTTATGGATCAGTAATTCTAGCCGGACCATAACTGGAAATTATCAGATTTTCTGTGTATCCTTAAGATCATTATAATTGTGAACTTCTCCAGCTTCAATTCCATTCCTCCTAATGTTAATAGCTATATTACTGATTTCTTTTTAGCATTTTTGACAGTTGTTATACTATGATTAATAGCTATTCAGTTACTACATTTTATTTAGATTATACTTTCCCTTAAATTTTTAGTGATTTTTGGCTGAGGAACATGAAGTAAAATTCTGTAATGTTAGATCAGTTGACCTTTGAACAATGAGGGGATTGAGGCTCTAACTACTGTGTAGTCTAAAATCCTGTGTAACTACAATCTGTCCTTTGCATTTGTGGATTTCCAATCAGGGATCAAAAATAGAAAAATAGAATGACCTTTGAACAACGCAGGTTTGAACTGCACAGGTCCACTTTTATACACAGATTTTTGAAATTTATAAAAACCACCCTGATCTGTATGGCTCTTGGGTGTTACACCACAAAGCAAAAGGTTGCCAGTCCAATTCTGGGTCTGGGAGCATGCCTGGGTTGCAGGTTTGGTTCCTAGTCAGGGTGCATGCAAGAGGCAACCAGTGGGTATTTCTTTCTCACATCTATGTTTCTCTCCCTCTTTTTCTCTTTCCCTTCCAGTCTCTAAAAATAAATAAATAAAATCTTAAAATATTTAATTATAAAAACCTGTGTTCAAGAATCAACTGTACTTGTAGTTCAAAAAACATGATTTGACTAGTACACGTCACTGTCTGGTCATTTTACATAGTTATTGTTAGATTCTTTACTATCTTTATTTAGGGTTTGCTGTTGGTGCTTAAGAATAGGAAAAACTAGAAACATAATGCAAGAGCATATTACTTACACATTAGTAAAAAAAATAGCAAATTCATACCAAAAGTAAGACTTGTCTAATAGTTATATGTTGAAGTGTGAGTGCTTAGTACAAATAGGATGATTAAATATTTTCTGACTGATTAATGCTTCTGAAATTAATTTCCAGTAAAATGTAATCTAAAAGAAAAATTTTTATAATATAATTGTAAGGATTTAGGAGTAAATACTGAATTTAAAGGTTTATTATGAGAGGTATCTGCAAGAGTTACTTTGTACCTAAGTTTAAGATACTTTAGTAAAGAAATGAGCACTTTAAAAAACTTTTCAGTTTTCTTTCTAAATAGGTGGTCAGTGAATAGAGACATAAATTCAAATAAAGCCCAAGTCTTGTGCCATCAAGAACTCCTTCCAGAATTCTTTCACTGAAAGCAGTTTCAGCTAGTATACATATTGCTGTGAGCTCTTAGTAACTGGATTTGAAATGTTAGAACTCTGGAACAGCCTACTGTAGTACTCCTCTGTCTTTATCTTGCCCTCTGCCATAGGATTGTATGTACAGGAGATGTATATATATTCCAGTCCGATGTTTAGAAACTGAGTTTTATTCAAAGGAAAGCAAAACAACTGTCTTTAAAAAAATTTGGCTATAAACTTGTGTTCAGAATAATTTTTAAAACTATTTTATCTTTCAAGAACTGAATTTTCTTTTCCCCCTTTTCAGATGATTGATTTCTTATTATTTTAGTGTGCTAATTTGTATATGAAACAGAACAAAAATACATATTCCTTAAAACTTTTTGATAAGATACAGGATTTCTGATAGCTCAAAACCATAGGAAGTTCATAACTTTATCTTCTAGTGCATCTTAATTTTTATCAAATTGTCACATGCTTTATAATGGCAGATTCTCTACAAAGGACATAGGGTTGTTGATTACCCTCTTTGGTCTAGTTATTGATTTTTTTTAAGGCCAGAGGTTTTTGTCATACTTCATATTAGTCTGCTCCAGGAACTAATATGGAATGGGTAGAATAATCTGGGTCAGAAGAGAGGGCCTAATAGGGAATTCCACATTCTTTTTTCTTTTTTAAATCCTCACCAGAGGACATTTTTTCACTGATTTAAAGAGAAAGGAAAGGAGAGGGAGAAACATGGATGTGAGAGAACCATCAACTAGTCGTCCCCCGTATGTGCTCCAACTGGGGATTGTATGCACCCAGACTATGTGGACTGAGGATTGAACCTGCAATCTAGATAATGTGCCTTCACCTGGAATCAAAGTCACAGCCCTTCAGTTATGGGATGACACTCCAACCAACTGAGCCACACCAGCTAGGGCAAAAACTGTACTCTAAGCTGTGAATAGCATTTTTTAATTCTTTGCCGACCTCTCTTACTTTGATTGAAGCCTAATTTTGACCATTTGAGCAATTCCTGCACTACAACTCTCCTGCTCCTAAGAAAAAGAAAACTAGTGTTTGTGATGAGGGGAACACTGAGTTAAGGGCATGAGCAGTCTGTTAAAATTTGAGTACCTATAGTCTACAGTAAGCTAAGTGGTCTTAACACGTTTCTGTTTGGCCAAAGTTCAGGGAAACTAACTTGTTTACATGTTTATATTATCTAACATATTTTTATGTTTTATGAATTTGAAGACCTAAAAATCACCGCAGGGTGGTACAAGGGAGATATCTGTGGTAATGTGACAGTCTGTATCTTGATTGTTTGGTATTAGTTCCTCAAATATACACAAGATAAAATCACATAGAACTGTACACACAGGTTGTACCAGTGTCATATTACAGTTATGTAGGCTGTGTTTGGGGAAGCGAAGGGAAAAGTGTACAGAACATCGTTATATTACCTTTCAACTTCCTCTGTATCTATAATTATTCCAAATAAAAAGTTAAAAAAGAAAATCAACCAAGATTAGTTGTTTTAAAGTAGGATTCTGTAAACATCATTTCTTCCAAAAGCAAAATTATCTTGTTATACCTTAAATTTTCTAATTTAGTCAAGTCTGGTCCACCACCGTTATCTTATTATATAGTGATCAACATCTGGGGTTGTAGGGCTCAGCAAGTTCCTGAGACAAGGCTTTTGATGGAAAAACTGAAAGCCTTGGGCAAAGTGGAATAAGTTGGTTACCCTATTTATGGAAGACAATTACTGGAGAGAGGCAGCCTGTGGGCTATTACTGATAAAGAGGAGGCTTAAATGTTTGTGGTTCCAAAGGCTCCCTCTAAGATTTGACTTAAAATCTATTTACTAATGCTGCTAGGAATATTTCTTAAAACTATGTCTGCCTTTTTATACATAAATGTTTCTCAACCTCAGAAAGGTCCTGTAATCTCAAAAGTTTTCATCTCCATGATTTTTGACACTGTTGTTTTTCTTAGTCAGCTGTATTGAATTTTAAGATATTCTTACGGTGCTAGATATAACTTGATTGACATAAGGAGGACCATGAACAACTTTATGAAATATGTAATCTTTTAAAAATGAGTTTGTTACTATTTTGAATTGATTTGTCTTATTGATGGGAAGAGTGTAATTTTCAAATATAATTATTAAAGCATGATTGATTCTTGAAGTAGTAAATACAAACTAATATGTTCATTTTTTTCTACATCCTTCCCTCCACACTGTACTTTTACCTTAAAATTCTTTTTTTTTAAAAGTCTCAGGTATTTAATGTCATTCTGTATATGGTGTATTTCTAATTACTAAGACAACAACAATTATCAAATGATACGGACACTTACTAATGTGTCCTCTGCATAATTATGAGTTACTAGGTCCCAGAACAGAGGAAAACTCAGTGATAGAACAGCTTGTTCTGTATTGCTATATTGAGTTTATTTTTCTAAATATATACATTTGGAGAAGCTAAAGTGGGAGAAAATAAAGAACTGGTAGAGACACATGTAGGGAAGAAAATAAAAGTATAAATTGTTTTGTAGGGAGTTAATCTTCTCCTTTCTGTGTAAAAGATTAGTTCTTAAACTTTTGGGGAGCTATGGGCCCTTTGAGAATTGGATAAAAGCCTCAAAATGCTATGTTTATACCTAGAGTCCAGACTAAGAACCTTTGCTAAATGAAATATTGGTAGATTTAATGGTAGCTTATTAAGTGAGAGAAAACCATAATGCTCTGTTTGTATAGCAGTTTACGGTTTAAAATGAACTTTGAAATATGTTCTTATATGATCTTTAATAGCCTTATGAAATTGACAGTACAGATTTCTTTATTCCTAACTTAAGTAAAATAATGGAGGCTCAAGATAATTGAGGTCATATGTCTGATAAGCATCTCATCTCTTACATTGGCAAATATTGTGCTTACTGAATGTCTGCTATGTTAGGCCCTCTGCCAGTCAGTGGGGATAGACGTTGTTACAAGGCTTGCCCTTGAAGAGCTGGCTCACAGTTGAGCAGAGCAGTCTGATTTGTAAACATTTTGTGTGAACCTATAGTAGTATATATTTTAGCCTTCAGTCGGAGGTCTGTTTAACTCTGCCATGCTCATTTTGGGGGAACACTGAGGAGAAATGTTTAATTAAAACTAAAATATCAATATGTACTCATTTCCAGGCTTAAAAATCTGACTTATTACATAGAAATTGAGTTTCATCACAAACATGATTTATACTGAATGATCATCAATTGTAAAAAGAGAAACTTTATATGCAAAGAACAACTTGATGTCCTTCACAGTGTTAAACACTGGAGAGGGTGGCAACTAAGTAAAATTATGATTTTTAAAAATTTTGGGGGGGCTTTTTATGGTTTTCAGAAGATATTATTGACAAAATGTAAGAGATAATTTTGTCGTTTTGTTTTTTAAGCATTTTTTGGAGATAACTGATGATCAATTTGACTTCCATACATACTGCATGAGAAAGATGACCCTTCGTGCCTATGTCGACCTTCTAAGATTAGAAGATATGCTCAGAAGACATGCCTTCTATTTCAAGGCTGCTAGATCAGCGATTGAAATATACTTGAAATTGTATGATAACCCCTTAACCAGTGAAGGCAAACAACAAGAAATAAATTCAGGTAACTGACAAGGAACTATTTTTAAAAATTTGAAAAGAATACTAATTTTCAGAATGTCATTAACATAAACAGTACATAGAAAAGTATGTTGTCAATGGATGCGAAGACAGTATACCTTTGTTTGTATGAAAAAAAATGCAGGGCAAGACTTATAAAAGGCTGGCAAGATGATGTTCTGTAGCTGGTGCTTCTAAATCATACTGATGGAATGACTTGCAATCTTTTTTTATTTTTATCTTCACTAAGACCAATTCATGAAAAATAGAAATGTCTGTGAACTGGGTTCTTTTTTTTTTTTTAATTGTCACTGAAAATAGTATTAAGCCTTACAGGGAACAATAATTTTTCTTACAACTTCTAGTACCTACTTCATTGAGAATAATAATGCTAATGAGAATAATACAGCTTTTATTCACTAAAATGTTAATATTTAGGAATATTTAAGAAAATATTCCTATAGAGAAAATATTTCATAGAGAAAAATTTGTTTTTCATTCGTAATATGTATGCAGTGTTTAGAGAGCATAAGTGTGTCTGTATCATTGATATACTCTTGAGAGAATAGTTGGTATTATCAGCCCCACTTTATACAGTTTGAAACTTGATACTGAGATGATTTGCCCAAAGTCATGTATTGTATAGGAGATAGAACTGGGCTAGAATTGGTTTATTTTAGTCAATGCAGCATGTGCCGGTTGTCTTTTGTGTGCCATGTTTAGTGCTAATCATTAGGAATATACTTTCTAAAACTTTTTAAATAGTTGCCTTTCCCCCCTTTCCCCCAAAGAGCTATACTAATCGTATGTATTGCACAAGAATATGAGGAAGAATGGAAACATTTACTCAGAATGCTTATGCATTTGGATATTTGTAGAAAACCTGTCAGCCAAAGAATTGAAGAAAATGCTTAGCAAGCAGAGAAGAGCTCAGAAAAAGGCAAAATTAGAAGAAGAGAGAAAGCACACAGAAAGGGAACGTCAACAAAAAAATCAAAAGAAAAAAAGAGATGATGATGAAGAAGAAGCCGGTGGTCTCAAAGAAGAACTTATACCTGAACAATTAGAAAGGGTGAGATGAATTTACTATGTTGATTTGGTAAAATTTAAGTTATTTAGTTCTGTGCTAGTCATAAATGTTTTATTTAAATTTATAAATAATCCATTTATGATTTTTTAAGGTTATGATAGTCATCAATTATTTTCGAATGATAGCATGCAACTTTTGCTAATGCATCATATACATAGAATTGTAGTTGTGGTAGGCAGAATCATGACCCTCCAGAGATGTCCATGTTCTAAACCCTGAAACCAGTGAATGTGTTACATTACATGGCAATGGGGAATGAAGGTGGTAAATAGAATTCAAGGTGGTGTTGGGTTGGCCAGAAAGGTCATTTAATTTTTCTGTATGATGGCTCCAGTAGCACTTAGTTGTCTTTAGCTTCATTCAAAATAATTTTGTTATGTTGTATAGTGACAGCTGTCATATCAGTGTGCATTTAAAAAATTAAGATTGGTGAAATTTTGTACAGCCATTTTAATATTGCAGATAGAAGGAAATATGCAATATTTTTGGCATATTATGCTTTATTACTTCAAGAAAGGTAAAAGTGCAACTGAAACACACAGTAAAAGATTTGTGCAGTGTATGGAGAAGGTGCTGTGACTGACTAAACATGTTAAGAGTGGTTTGTGAAGTTTCTTGGTACTATTGACATTTTTGCCAGGTAATTCTTTGCAGTGGGGCTGACTTAATAATGTACTGGAAGATGTTCAGCAGCACCCCTAGCACCCACTAAAAGCCAATAGCGGGAGATAGCTGACATACTGACATATTCAAAATATCCAAATTAATATGGTTATTAGTGAAAATGAAAAATGTGTCTTATTTTACAGAAAACAACTAAGTGGACTTTTTGACCAACCCAATAATTAGCTTGCCTAAAGATAGGGAGAGTAGCCTGGATTGTCCAGGAGGGCCTAATGAAATCACAAGAGGCCTTGAAAATAGAGGAGGAAAGTAGGTAGTAGTGGTGTGAGGGCTTCATCCCTGGTGATGGCCTTTGAAGATGAAGGGAGGTGAGGGAAGGAGGTGGCTATAAGCCAAAGAAGTAAGGCAGCCTTGGGAAGCTGAAAAGGACACTGAAACATGGAGTCTCCCTTACAGCCTCCAGAAGGGAATGCAGTCTGGCTGACACTTGATGATTTTAAGTTAAGCGAGACCAGTGTTGAACTTCTAACCTTTAGAACTGCAAGATAATAAATTTACAGAACCCCACCTATGCTGTTCTGGAACAGCTATGGGGTTCACCCACCCCCAGGAAGTGTGACTCCCAGTGTAAGAGTTCGGTGAAAAAGGAAAGGGATTGTTTATTTACAGGTTATACAGATTCAGAATAATGGTGGATTTCTGCTGTTAAGTCCCACTGCCTTTAAAACACCCCAAAATACATAATTCTGCCCCTCTTTGCCCACCCAGGCCAGAGTACACCAGCCAGAGGTACTGGCTTTCAGTAAAGCAGAAATCTGCGGCCCAGCATTCCCAGTCACAGTTCAGCATTCCAGTCAGGTCTCCACACAGCTCCATTCACTCTGCCTGTGTTCTCCAGGCAGGTTTCCCAGTGGGTCTCCCAGATAATAAAACCCCAGTGGGTTTTTTACTCCAGCTATTAATTCAAAACAGTATAGCACCTCCTTACTCCAGACCACATGGTTATATAAAAAGAAGTGTTGTAGGAGTTCAGAACAAGTCACTCCAAGATGTGCCTAGATGCAACCAGGACCTTGTGAGCTTAAGAGGAACTCTTTAACTACTCCTTCCTTAACTACCTAAAAGAATTTGAATTAGGGGCCTTTCCCACAATAGGACATTATCAGAAATAACCTTTTTTGACCTTTCTATAGGGCAGGACAAACTAATTATTGAACATCTGATCTTCTTACCTTCCTCCTTTCTGAAGCCCCAAGGTGATCCTTAACTTAGAGTGGCATATGTACATGTGTACCTCATTTGTCCTTTCTCTCTGAACGTCTTATGTATGTGGGGTCTCTAACTATCTTATGTATGTGGGGTCCTTTCCATATGTGTCTGTATATGTAATTAAATTTGGTCATTTTCTATTGTTAATTTGTCTCGTGTTTACTTGATTATTAGACCAACTAAAATACCTTGAGGGTAGAGGAAAGTTTTTTTCCTTCTTCACATTGTCAAAATTATTTCAGATGTATATTAGTATAAAATTTGGGGAGAAATTTGACTTGTGTAGCTGTTTTTTAAATGTAATAATTTTCCTTTCTGTTTTAAAATAGATAGAAAATCCACTGGAAGAAGCTATCAAGTTCCTTATACCTCTTAAGAACCTTGTTGCTGATAACATTGACACTCATCTATTAGCATTTGAAATATATTTTAGAAAAGGTAATGATTTGAATTCAGTTTTTAATTCTTAGTTATTTTGGTGACCATATTCAGTATAATCTTATTAGTTAGACCTTTTTTTTCTTTTAAGATTTTATTTATTTATTTTTAGAGAGAGGAGAGGAGAGGAGAGGGAGAGAAACATCAATGTGTGGTTGCCTCTTGAGTGACCCCTACTGGGGTCCTGGCCTGCAACTCAGGCCTGTGCCCTGACTGGGAATCAAGCCTATGACCTTTGGTTTGCAGGCTGGTGTCAGTCCAGTGAGCCACACCAGCCAGGGCTAGTTAGACTTATTTTGGTTTAGCATTCCATCTCAGCATTCCACAAAGGCTCTTAATCCTTTTTTTCTTTTGCTACATAAAACTATACTGGGTAATAAATTAGAATATTATGATCAAATCTGTTTTAAGAATAGTTTGAGCAATCACACAAATCATGTATCTGAAGCAGTTCTTCATGATTGTTCAAGGTGTTCTTAAGAAAATAAAAGTTACCTTTGATAACCAAAATTATTTTCGAATTTTTCTTACAAATGTTTTAGGAAAGGTAGCACTTTGTTACTGGATTTTAAGCTAGGCTAAAATAAAGTGAATAAAATGTCATACATAAATATTGATCTTGTTTTTTTTTCTGACACACAGGAAAGTTTCTGTTAATGCTGCAATCTGTCAAACGAGCTTTTGCTATCAACAGTGATAACCCATGGTTGCATGAATGTTTAATTAAATTTTCTAAATCTGGTAAGTATAAATAAGGTAATATTATATAAAAGCAAATGTAACCATTTAGCTTTTTTCCATTAAGGTGCACATTAAAAGAGATTTAAAAATGTTAAGCAAAAAAATGTTTATATGTAGTATTTAAATGAAGGCATGATTATAAATTAAACATGCTAGCAAAGATATGCTGGAAACTAGTACATTTTTAAGCTAGAATGTACTTATATTTGAAAGAAGCAATAATTTTTTACTATGTAAAATATATAGAACTTAAATAAATGTATTTCAAGTGATTTTGTTTCAAAGGACAGACCTGAATTTTTAAAAATTTCAAATATTTTGTTTTTATAGTGTCTAATCATAGTAATCTTCCATACATTGTGAGTAAAGTTCTGTCTCAAGAAATGCAGAAAATATTTTTGAATAAGGATTTGGAAAGTTTTAATGAGGATTTTCTCAAACGTAATGCTGCCTCTCTTCAGCATCTACTTTCAGGTTGGTATATAGCTCCCAGGGTTAAAATGTTTATGGGAAAAAGTTAGATTGCGATTTTTTTAAAACATTTTGGAAAAATGTTTAACCTCACTAATTATCAAAGAAGAGTAAATAAACACAATACCATTTTTATAAAGACTTTATTTATTGATTTTTAGAGAGAAGGGAAGGGAGGGAGAAAGAGAGGGAGAGAAACATCCAAGTGTGGTTGGCTCTCATGCATCCTGGACTGGGAACTTGGCCTATAACCCAGGCATGTGCTCTGACTGAGAATCAAGCTGGCAACCCTTTGGTTCGCAGGCTGGCCCTCAGTCCATTGAGCCAAACCAGCCAGGGCACAATGCCATTTTTGATCTTTCAAATTAGGAAAGTTTTTATTTGTTTATTTAAAAGAGATTAAAAAGTTTAGTCAAGTTGTAGTTAACAACCACTCTTGTATTTTGCTGCTACAGTGTAAATTTGCCTGGCCATTTAAGAAAGCAATTTGTCATTCTTAGCAAGGATTTCATATTACCTGTGTCTTGCTGTAGTCATTTTGTAGTGTCTTTTGTGAATATTTTTAAATAATTATTCCTAAGCAAAAAAAGAACTTTAAGTGCAAAGATGTTAACTAAAATGTGTGTAAGTGTGGGGAAAAGAATGTAAACAAATTTAATGTATGTCCAATAATAAGGAGAAGTAATAGATTTGTAGGATGAAATATCAGGTAATTTTATAAAGTGATGTTTATTTTGAAGAGAGCAAATACTTTTTAATATGTATGCAGAATTAACATAAAAAATAATATCAACTATGTAAAAATATACATAGGATAAAGGCTAAAAAGAAGTTATACCAAAGCTTTAATTTTTGCTTTTAGGTGTTATGGTTATGAGTGATTTATTTTTTCTTGTACTTTTATTACTTTATATATTTTGTATTTTGAGAATTTATTTATATTCTGCCTTGTTACAGGAAGAAATTTAGGCCATTTATATAAATTTATAAAATGACAAGATGATGCCCTGGCTAGGTTGGGCATTGTCTGGCAAGCCAGAATGTTGCTGGTTCAATTCCAGGTCAGGGCCCATGCCTGTGTTGCAGGCCAGGCCCCTGAATGGGGGCATGTGAGAGGTAGCCAATTGATGTTTCTCTCTCTCTCTTTCTCCCTCCCTTTCCCTCACTCTAAAAATAAATAAGTAAAATCTTTTAAAAAATGACAAGATGGATAGAAAACAGTATGGAATTTTCTCAGAAAAGTAAAAATGGACCTGCCTTTTGACCCAGCAATTCCACTGCTAGGATTATATCCTAAGAATCCTAAAACATCAGTTTCAAAGAACCTATGCACCACAATGTTCATAGCAGCACAATTTACAATAGCCAAGAGTTGGAAGCAACCTGGGTGCCCATCAGTAAATGAATGGATCAAAAACTTGTGGTACATATACACAATGGAATTCTATGCAGCAGAGAGAAAGAAGGAGCTCCTACCCTTTGCAACAACATGGATGGAACTGGAAAGCATTATGCTGAGTGAAATAGGCCAGGTGTTGAAAGACAAATACCATATGATCTCACCTTTAACAGGAAGCTAAACAACAAAACAAACTAGCAGAATAAAAACAAAGACACTGAAATAGAGAACAAAGGGACAGTGACCAGAGGGGAGTGGGAAGGGAATTTAAGGGGAAAAAAGGGGAGGGATTTTGAGGAACAAGTATAAAGGACACAGGGATGAGAACAAAGGGGGGTGGAAATGGGAGGGAGGTGGGGGGCGGGGGGGCTGGGATGGGAGAAACAGACAAAAAACTGTACTTGAAAAATAACCAAATAAAATGTAAAAATAAATAAATAAAATAAAGCCCCCCTCCAAAAAAAATGACAAGACGGCATAAGTGCAAACTGAATAAAAGATTATAGAAGGGAATTGGAGACATAAAAGTATATAACTGCTCCTACTTTTATATTGTATTTAAATACTTTAACCTAAGCTTTTTTATTGTAAAGGGAAACTTTTTGGTTTTGATATTTATGGAAAAGAGTTAATTCACATGAGAAATTATACTTCTTGGTGGTAAAGGCAGGTAAGAATTTCTCTTTAAGAACATAGAATAATGGAGGACAACATTTCCTTAGTAGAATGATGGAAAATGCCTTTTCAAACATATGAAATTTTAAAGAAAAGATCATTATTGCCACATAAAAATACAATCACCATAAAGTCAGGAGTTCTGGCCAAGATAGAGGTATATATAAAAACCCTTTGCTTCCTTGCACAACCAAAAGGAGGATAACAACCAATCTAAAATTAGTAAACAAAAAAACCCCCAAAACAAAAAAAAATCAATAAACAACTACAAGTGCCAGAAAATCAAACTTCATGGAACTCCAACAACCACAGAATTAAGGAAACAGTCAAACAGAGCAACTAGACAAGTAAGGTGCTGGACAGAGAGAAATTGCAGCGAGGTGGTGGACTGTTTGGGTGGGGCCTACTTAAGAGTAAACTGAGACTTAGAGCAGGCTGTGGACTATGGCAGTTGCTGTGGCAGGAGAAACTCCCAGTCTCACATGAGAGCTCAGTGAAAAGTGGGCTAGAGATGAGCAGGAAAGCTGCAATTGTTCCCTCTCTGGCCCCCCTCCCACTAGCATCCCTGCAGCACAGCAAGGAGGGTTGCCCTGCCCCGATGAATATGTAAGGCCCCGCCTCCTTACAGCTTACAACTTAACAGGGGCCCTGAACGGAAAAATAGGGCCAAAATGAAAGAATAGAGCAAAACTTCAGAAAGAGAGCTAAACAATGAAGATAGATAATGCAGAATATAAAGTCCTGGTAGTCAAAAGATTCACAGAACTGATTGAGCTTGAGCAAAAAATGGAAAAACAAATGAAAGATACCCAAAATGAAATAAAGCAAAATATTCAGGGAACCAACAGTGACAGGAAGGAAACCGGGATTCAAAGCAACGATTTGGAACAAAAGGAAGAAACAAACACCCAACTGGAACAGAATGAAGAAACAAGATTTCAAAAAAATGAATAGAGACTTTTGAACCTCTTTGACAACTTGAAACGTTCCAATATCCGAATTATAGGGGTACCAGAGGAGAACAACAGCAAGAAATTGAAAACTTACTTCAACAAATAATGAAGGAGAATTTCCCCAATCTGGCAAAGGAAATAGACTCCCAGGAAGCCCAGAGAGTCCCAAAGAAGTTGGACCCAAAGAGGAACACATCAAGGCACATCATCACTAAGTTACCCAAGATTAAAGAGAAGGAGAGAATCTTAAAAGCAGCAAGAGGAAAGGAAAGTTACCTACAAAGGAGTGTCCATAAGGCAATCAGCTGATTTCTCAAAAGAAACCTTACAGGAGAGAGGGGCTGAAAAGAAGTATTTGAAGTCATGAAAGGCAAGGACCTACTTCCAAGATTACTCTATCCAGCAAAACTATCATTTAGAATGGAAGGGCAGGTAAAATGCTTTTCCCAGGTAAGGTCAAGTTCAAGGAGTTCATCATCACCAAGCCCTTATTATGTGAAATGTTAAAGGGACTTATCTAAGAAAAAGAAGATCAAAAATATGAACAGTATAATGACAACAAACTCACAACTATCAACAAATGAACCAAAACAATAAAAAAAACAAAAACAAAGACTAAGCAAACAGAACAGGAATAGAATCAGAGAAATAGACATCACATGGAGTGTTTTCAGTGGGGAGAAGGAGGGGAGGAATGGGGGGGGGAAGGTACAGGGAAGAAGAAGCATAATTGGTAGGTATTAAGTAGATGGGGAAAGGTAAAAAATGATGTTGGAAACAGAAATCAAAGAATTTATATGTACAACCCATGGACATGAACTGGGGGGGGATGCTGGAGGGTGGAGGAGTGTAAAGGGGGAAAATTTGGAAAACTAATGGCTTAATCAAAAAATATACTTTAAAAATTAATTTATAAAATACAATCAGCGTAAAGTCAAAAGACTAATGGGAAAGAAATACGGATACAGCAATCCCTCACCTATCGTGGGAGTTATGTTCCAGAGACCCTTGAGATAGGTGAAAATCTGAAAAGTGGTGTTATGTTTATTCTATTATTTATATATGTTTTAAGGCTTTATAAACTCTTCCCACACTCCTATAACCCTTTCCCACACTCTTATAAACACTTCATATGCTCTTAAACACTTTCTACACTCTTAAACCTACATAATTTTAACAACATACAAAATTCTATATGGGTACTCACCAGTGAAGTATACTCCAACTTGAGTGATGAAGATCATGAATTATGCAGCTGTGCAGTACTGGTGGCGATGAAAGTGATGACGATGAGATGAATGTGCTGCACAGCCAAGAAGAGCATCACAGCTCTTCTGAAGGCACCACTGCATCAGGCGTTTCATCAGCTGGTGCAGTATCTTTACCCTGGGCCTTAACTTCTATTTCTGCTAAAGGCGTAGGCGTAACTGATCTCTTCATCCGAGTGATGAACATAGTTATGGGGAGTTGCTGGCACTGCTTTTTATCCACAGAGGTAGCTTCTCCATGCAGAGAAACGCTATTGAGTCCAAAGTGTCTCTGTAATTTGTCAGATCACCCCTTGCTGGCACTGAATGGGGTTGGTCTCGTGGGAGAAGCACTCGATAGTCCTGCTTCTGCATTGTTGTCCTCATCATCCTTGTCACTGTCGTGAATGTCCATGCTTTCCACAAGACTCTCATAAAGTTTCTTGGCCTTTGTCTGGATGGTGTTGGTATCCAGCGAGATCTTCTTCCTGCAGTCATTTATCCACAGGGCTGCATCCTCACAGTGGCCTTATTGCAGGAAGTGACCACCCTCTTTGCAGTCTTGTTAAAAGTCACTGTTGCCATAGACCTAATAGTCTCGTCTTTCTTTATGTAGCAAACAGTAGATCCCATAATGGCGGCCTTCAGCCGCATAGCTTTTGCCTTCCTTTAACATGTTGAGAAGTTCCACCTTTTCTCTGATGGTAAGCATATTCCTCTGGTGCTTGGATTCACTGCCAGAAGCCTTAGAAGGCGTAGAACATGTGGGTGGCATTGTACGGCTTGAAATAAATTTGAACTTTTACAAAAATTCCACAAGAACACAACACTGCAGAGCACACTACGTGCAGCGATCAGACGTTGGTGTGAAGTGGACAAGGAGAGATGTGCAACATATGGGACCATATGGGCACAGTGCAGAAGAGCAAACAGACCAGTGCTGTGAATTAACATTTTTTATATTGTTTAAAATTTTTTAGGCAAAAATAATTAAAATAATAAATATTATATAAATACCTATTATAAAATAATAAATATTATATAAGTCCCGCCATATAGTGAAAACTCCTTGATACAGAATTAGATATATATATATTTTTTAAAAACCCGTGATACAGTGAAGCTGTGATAAGTGAACCATAATATAGCGAGGGATGACTGTATACAACTGATAAAAAGCTAATAATATATATGGAGTCTTATAAATGGACAATTAATATAAATTAATAAAGCCCAATAGTAAAATGAGCACAGAATATGGACCATGTAATTTATTGGAGAAATATAAACTGGATTTTATTTCTTTAAAACTTTAAAAATTATTTTCTTCATGAATATGCAAACACTTTCCTTTTTCCCTCTACCACACTCTGGTAATTATTTGTTTCTTAGATGTTTTATTTTAGGGTATCACTTAAAAAAATGCCACAGGGTAACCTGTGTTTACATTTTGAGTTATATCATTTCCTGGAGGGGGGAGTATTAAATGTGGTCTCCTGTTAAATGTTTAACAACCATCACTTTGTAACAGGAAAAGCCTGGTTTGTAGTGTTTTGATATAATATAAATACTTTCATTGTGCCCCCAAGCTACCCGTGGGGTGTCATTGAAGGGGGAGTGGGAAGAGATACGACAGTTGCCTCCAGAGAGCAGGTGGGAGCCAACTCCAGGCCACTGCTGATTAACCACTTGGAATCATATTGTAAGTCACTGGTCAGTGTAGATCAGATCAAATGTAGCCACAGGAGTTCACTCATTTTGAAATGTCATGCTATTTCAGGTGCTAAAATGATGTATTTTCTGGACAAGTCAAGGCAAGAGAAAGCAATTGCCATTGCCACTAGACTAGATGAAACTATAAAAGATAAAAATGTAAAGGTAAGACTTTTCAAATACCTTATGATCTCACCTTTAACAGGACTCTAATCAACAAAACAAACAAACAACATAACTAAAGACACTGAAATTGAGAACAAGCTGTCAGTTACCAGAGGGAGAGGGGAGGAAAATGCAGAGGGAGAGGGGAAGGGTTTGCAGGAACAAGAATAAAGGGCACATGGACAGAAACAAGGGGGTGTTGGAAATGGGAGGGATGAGGGGAGAGCTGGGTGGGTGTGGGCTGGGATGGGGGTAAAAGGCAGAAAACTGTACTTGACCAACAATTAAGATAAAAATTAAAAATTTTAAAAATTCTTCAAAAGACTGATTTCCTTAAACTTACGGATATTGAATGATCTAACAAAACATGTCTTTATAACATAATTCTTGAGTGGACTTTCTGAGTTATACTTTGATTTGAATCTCAGTTCTACTATTATGGGCTCTGTCACTTTAGACAAGTAACCCATGTCTTTTAGCTTCCTTGTCATGGAGTTGGTATAAGGGTTAACCGAAATAATAAACTGAAGTGATTACTACCTGCCTGGCACATGAAACCACTTAGTATATAGGAGCTAGTTTATTAATAAAGGACACTTTTATTTTAGTGATCAGTTTACATATATTTCAGGGAGTCACCTTTACAAGTATCAGAATTTTACTGCTTTTTTAAGGCTTTGCAGAACTGATTTTTAAAATGTTCCTTATTTGAGGCAAGTACTTACTATAGATAGGAAGAACTTATTTTGGACTAGGACTCGTTGGCCTTCTCTTAGTTAACAGATTACATCTTGATTAAAGTGATTATTAACCAAACTTAAAAAATTTTTTTGTTTCTCTCTGTTTCAATAGACTTTAGTACCAAACTTAAAAAAAAATTGTTTCTCTTTGTTTCCATAGACTTTAGTAAAGGTTTCTGAGGCACTGCTTGATGGCAGCTTTGGGAGCTGTAATTCCCAATATGAAGAATACAGGATGGCCTGTCATAACCTGCTTCCTTTCACATCTGCTTTCCTGCCTGCTGTGAATGAAGTCAGCAGTCACCGTGTGGCCCTAAACAACACGGCTAACTATGATGTCTTGGCAAACGAAATTTGAAATCCCATAGGAAATTGACTTTTGTAGATTCAAAGCTGACTTCAGGTCAGAGTTTCTTCTCCAGAATGTATATAGATATGAAATGAAACAATTGGTTAGAATTTTTCAACAGAGTATTCTGTAAGCTTATTTTATTCTTTATCTGACTCTGCCAGTATACATAAACATCAGTTAAACTTACCTGTTTATACTTGTACAGGTTTCTTAAACTTTAGAATTATCAGCATTGTGATGGGTGCTGTTACTTCTATATCATAAATGGGACAATTTCTTATTTTGGTAAATTATATAAAGACTCCAGGGTTGGTTTTTTTAAATATATTTTTTATTGCTCTGGTTTTAGAATCCATGTTTCAATCCCTTATTGGTTTGTTTTATTATTGTTCATTTACTTTCTTTTTAATTAAAGTACATCAGTTTTAATGTGTTAAATATATGTAAAAAAACCAATATGGAACTCCTTTGGCAGATATTGAGGTTTATTTTAAAATTTAGTTTGCTGTTTTTGTCCACCTTAATTTTTTCTGATTTCTCATTTTCTTTTTAATATCCATGAAAATGATAATTCCTGTTGATTTTAGAATGTGGGTATTGGTTTGCCTTTTAATCACTGAAATTCACTGGTAAATTTGTGTCTCCAGATTAGCCTTTTTTTCCCCTAGATTAGTTTTAAAGACCCATAGGTGCAAGAATTATGCTTTCTCAGCTAAATTGACTTGCGTGTTATTAAATAGTTTATATTTGAGTGGTATATCAAGGGAGTGTAACTAGGCAGAATACAAATTATAATGAAGCATTCTTATTCTTAAAAGTCATACATTGACTATTAAATATGTTTTTATATCAATAGAATGAGAATTTAAACTCAGTTTAATTATTAAAACATAGTATTGTTGGGCAATTTTCGGGGGAGGGATAGTGTTTTCTGTCTTGTATAGAAAACAGTAATGACATCATTTGATATGCTTCTTTCAGAATTGTAAATATGTATAATAAGGCTTAAAGGCAAATATAAATTCAAAAAGGGAGATTTTATTTAGAAAAACAGTTCTAGTTGAAATGATTTTCTTTCACTCTAAGGTATTTTAGATTCATAATTGTTGAGAAAAACACTCACTGTAAAACAATGTCAACCTAGATAATGCTATAATAAATTATTTTGTACACACTTGCTTATTTGTGTTTCTGTTATTGCTGCACACTATCAAAATATTGTGCAAAATGTTTTTTTAAAGATTTTATGTATTTATTTTTAGAGGGGAAGGGAAGGAGAGAGGGAGAGAAATATCAATGTATGGTTGCCTCTCCTGGGTCCCCTGCTGGGAACTGGCCTGCAACCCAGGTGTGTGCCCTGACTGGGAATTGAACTGCTGTTCACAGGCCCACACTCAATCTACTGAGCTGCACCAGCCAGGGCCAAAATGGTTTTTTTTGAGGGAGTAAAACTTTTAATCATCTTAATTCTTACCAGTTTATTTAAAAAATCACCCACCAATATATTCTGGTGCTATAGCAGCTTGTTATCCTTTTACTGTTTTAATAATTTTAGGAGTAGACAGTCTTTGTTACTAAATATGTAATTTGTCATATTGCTTTCAGCAAGATGCCATTTGCATAAAAGATGGCAGTTCATAGTTAATGTGAAATTGTGCTTCCAGCTGTAGTCTTTTATTTTTTTTAATTTATTTTTTCTTATATATTTTTCATTACCATTTGTCCCCCTTATATTCCCTTCCCTGCCCCCACCCCCACAATCACCACACTGTTGTCCATGTTCATGAATCATTTTCCTTCTTGTCTGATCCCTCTACCCCTTACCCTGCCTCACCCCCAGAGCTGTCAGCCTGCTCTTTATGAGTCTGTCTCTGTGCTGCTTATTAGTTCAGTTTGTTCATTAGATTTCACATATGAGTGAAACCATACGGTATTTGTCTTTCTCTGACAGGCATTTTTCACTTAGCATAATGTTCTCCAGTTCCATCCATGCTGTTGCAAAGGGTAGAATTTTCTTCTTTTTTATGGCTGAGTAGAATTCCATTGTGTAAATATCCCATAGTTGTTTTATCCACTCCTCTATGAGGAAGGAGAACACTTTTACACTGTTGGTGACAATGCAGATTAGTGCAGCCACTACAGAAATAAGTCACTTGTGAGAATTTATCCTAAGAAACCCAAAACACAATTTAAAAGAACATAAGCACCCCTGTGTTCATTGCAGTGATATTTGCAATAACCAGGATATGGAATCAGGTATAGTATTTTTTAAAGTATTCCATTGGGATCATTAAGTTTCTGAGAGTTATAGGCAGATACAATTGAGATGTGAGAAGTTTGGTTCAAGGTAAGGAAGAAGGCAGGATAGTTAGTGGCATGGATAAGTGAAATCCAGTAGTGTCAGTCAGTGTATAGAGGTTGTGTTTATTTTTTTCCCTACATCTAGAATAAACCTGGAATATGGTCAGGGATCTCTTTTTAGATAAGGGAGGAGGGCGCTTTTAGTTTTGTAAAGGGAAAGAATAAAGAAAGGAGAGATATCTTAATCAAGCACTTAAAAAGAACAGAGACAGAATCATGGATATGAAGAGTGTTTTGATGGTTGCCAGACGGAAGGTGAGTGTGGGGGAATTGGTGAAGAGGTGAGGGTATTAAGTACATATAGGTAGTTCCAGAACAGCTGTGGGGATGTAGTATACAGTGTAGGAAATGGAGCAGCCAAAGAACTTACACCCATGACCCGATGTCATGGGATTGCCTGAGGGAGTGGAGGGTGCTGGGTAAAGGGGTACAAAGGGAGAAAAATAGAAACAACTGTAACAGCATAATCAATGAAATATTTTTTAAAAAATTAAGTACTTAAAAGAAGTCTCAAGACCAAAAAGGCCTTTGTCCTGCAAAGTTTACCAGAACATATTGGAAACAAAACACCAAGATTCAAGGCATAGTGTGAAAATTGAATTTGGCTTCAGGTTTTTGTGATTTTTCTTGAGAAATGAATTTAATGGGCAAAGCCTACAGAATAGAAAACCATGATTCAATCTGTATTTATTGATCCCTATTTTGTTTCAGACTTTGAGGTATGACATATACAATAGTGAACAAAACCAAGACCTTATTCTATTCTAGTGGGGGGGAGAGAGAAAATATGAGTGTTAATTACTGTGTAGAAAACTCAAGCACAGTATGAATATAGAGAGTAGTGTTGGTTATAGTGAAATTTTAAAATTTCAAAGAATAGTTTAAAACATTACAGGTAAAAAGACTTTTCTCAAAGGAATGAATTGGACATCAGATTTCTCAAAAGCATTATTGAATGTAAGTATGAAAGAAAAAATGATTAAAAATTTCAGCCAAATTAGCATTAGAAGGTGACAACATTTTAAAATATTTTTAAGTATACAAACCTCAGAAGATTGGCCTTACAAGGGCCTTCAAGAAAATACTGAAGATAGTTATCTGGCAGGGGAGGTACCATGATCACAAAGGTGGTTTTCCCGGGGCGAGACTTGTCCATTGTTCTGTGAATGTGCTGACCCCTTCGATTTTTTCCCAGTGTGAGAGACTGGAGTGCATGGGACTGTCATGCTCTCCCGTGTTAAGAAAGAAAATACTTTGGGACAGCAATTTCCATCTTTTTCCATCTCATGATGCACATAAATTACTAAAATTCTGTGGCACACCAAAAAATGAATTTCTTGCCAATCTGACAAAAAGTTTAATTTTTAAAATAATTTATTGGGGTGACATTAGTTAATAGGGTCATAGAGGTTTCAAGTGTACATTTCTGTGATACCTGGTATGTATATCACATTGTGTGCCCACTCCTCAAAGTCAAATAGTCTTTGTTCTCAGTATATATTTGGCCCCCTTTACCTTTTACCCTTTAATATTCCCCCGACCCTTTCCCTCTGGTAACTACCATACTGTTTTCTGTGTCTATGAGTTTCAGTTTTATATATCACATGAGTAAAATTATATGTTTCTTAACTTTTTCTGACTGACTTAGCACAATCTCTCTTTTTTTCAATCCTTACCCAAGGATAATATATTCTTTCTCTTCAGCGAGAGAGAGAGAGAGAGAGAGAGAGAGAGAGAGAGAAAGAGACACTGATTGTGTGAGATAAACCAATCAGTTGCCTCCTGTACATACCCCGATCAGGGTCTGAACTTCTAACCTGTGTACATGCCCTGACTGGGAATTGAACTTGCAACATTTCTCTGCATGAAATGATGCTCCATCCAACTGGGCCACACCATCCAGGGCAGCATAATATTCTCAAGGTCCATTCATTCTGTTGCAAATAGCAGTATTTCATCTTTTCTTGTGGCTAAGTAGTATTCCAGAGTATATATGTACCATATCATCTTTATCCAATTTCTACTGAAGGACACTTGGGTTGTCTTCATGTAGGGGTGTGTAAATCTGCAAATAAATGTTTCTGAGTTTTTCTGGTATGTACCCAAAAGGAGGATTGCTGGGTCATATGGTGACTCTATTTTTAGTTTTCTAAGGAACTGCCATACTGCTTTTTGTAGTAGCTGTATCAATTTACATTCTCACCAGCAGGGAATGAGGACTCCTTTTTCTCCACAACTTTTCCAACACTTGTTATTATTTGTCTTCTTGATAATAGCCATTTTAACAGGTGTGAGATGATATACTTTTGCTTTGCTTTTCCCTGATAGCTAGTGAAGTTGAACATCTTTTCGTATACTTGTTGGCTGCTTGTCTTCTTTGAAGAGGTGTCTGTTCAGGTCCACTACCCATTTTTTAAAAATTAGATTGTTTGGTGTTGAGTTATATAAGTTCTTTTATATATTTTTGTTATTAACCCCTTGTTAGAGCTGTCATTTACATATCATCTCCCATTTGGTTGCTTGCCTTTTTGTATGTTAGCAGTTTCTTTTGCAGTGCAGAAGCTTTTGGTTTTGATATAGTCCCAGTCATTTACTTTTTGCCTTTACTTCCCTTGCTTTTGGAGTCAAATTAAAAAAATGTCCTCTACAACCGAAGTCTGTAAGTTTAGTACCCATGTTCCCTTCTATGTAGTTTATTGTTTCAGATCTTATATTTAGGTCTTTGATCCAGTTTGAATTGATTTTGTACATGGTAACAAACCAATCTAGTTTTCATTCCTTTGCATGCAGCCTTTCAATTCTCCCAGCACCATTTATTGAAGAGGCTTTCTTTTCTCCATTGTGTTTTTTTGGCTCCTTTGTCAAAAATTATTTGCCTATATACATGTGCTTTTATTTCTGGGTTCTCAGTTCTGTTCCATTGGTCTGTATGTCTGATCTTCTGTCAATACCATGCTGTTTTGATATCATAGCTTTGTAGTATAATTTGAAGTCAGGTAGTATGATACCTATGCTTTCATTCTTTTTTTTTCCCCCTCAGGATTGCTTTGGCTTTTGGGGGTCTTTTGTGGTTCCATACACATTTGACAATTTTTTTGGTTCAGTTTCTTTAAAGAATGACATTGGGATTTTGATGGGGATTACATTATACCTCTATATGATTTTGGGTAATAATGGCCATTTTAACTATGTTGATTCTTCCAATCCAAAAACATGACATATCTGTACATTTCATTGTATCTTTTTCAAGCTCTTTAATAATGGTTTGTAGGTTTTCCGTATATAAATCCTTCACACCATTCCTTAAATTTATTCCTAGGTATTTTATTCTCTTGAATGCAATTGCAAAAGGAATTTTTTTCATTTATTTTTCTGAAGTTTCACTGTTAGTACATATTGGGTTGGCCAAAAAGTCCATTTAGTTTTTCTCCATAAAATAAAATAAACATTATTCATTTTCACTAATACCTTTATTGATTTGGATATTTTGAGTATGTCAGCTATCTCCTGCTATTGGCTTCTAGTGGGTAGAGGTAGGGGTACTGCTTAATATCTCCCAGTGCATAAGACAGCCCCACAGCAAAAAATTATTTGTCCAAATGTCAACAGTACCAAGAAACTTTGCAAACCACTTTTGACATGTTTGATCAGTCACTGCAACTTCTCCATTTATGGCATAAGTTTGTTTTTTTTTTTTTTGCGTTTTAGTTGCATCTTTACGTTTCTTGAAGTAATAAAGCATAGTATGCCAAATATGTTGCATATATTCTTCCACCTTCAATATTAAAGTGGCTGCACAAAATTT